CTGCACTGTTAAAGGGGAACTGCTAACAATCTGTTACCGGGGTTTCCTAATCTTGTTAGGTTTTCTGTATGCAGTTAAAAAAACCAAGAGGCTTTGCCCTTACATCTCTAAAAAAGAAAAATCTTGCCAAGTGGGCTTTGGTTATGCTAGTCCCTGAGTGTGTGCTCGTTTCCTCCTCTTTACCCACATAGAGGAGAAGTTATAAAAACACAAAAAGATTCAAGGGGAAAGGTGTGAGCACATGTAGTTCATCCTCCTTTATGAGGCAAGAGGTGAGGGGGGAAAGTTTGTGTGCACATGTGATTCATCTTCCCTGTTTTCCATTGGTTCAAACTGTCACACTGCTGAATTGATGCAAATAGATCTCTGTGTTTTTTTAAGTTGAAGTCCCAGAGGTGGAGTGAGAAAATTATGGAGGGGGGCTCTCTGGCCTGGTTCACATTTTCCCTAGTTAAAAGAGAGAAAAAAATAAATCAGCCAGCTCCTAACCTGCAGTATTTCCCACATTTTTCCAGTGTGGTTGTAGCCTAAGTCTGCCAGCCAACTCCCCTTCCCTTGGAACAGCTGCACAAGAAAGCTTTACTGAATTCAGTGCATTCTGTTGCTGGGTAAGTGTCCTTTCCTCTCCTACACATTCTGCAGGAGTTACTACAACAAAATGCCAATTAAGCACTGTATAGTAGTCCTTGGCCTTATCTAGTGCTCTCCTCACCCAAGTACCAATAAGGCCAAACTCTGCTTTGCTTCTGAAATCAGATGAGATCAAGCATTTTCAGTGTAGTACTATATTGGATTACAGTATTTAACACCAAATGAATGATATAGAGTGTGATACAACCCAGCTATCCTTTTGTGGCCCAGTTCCAGTTATGTCATAGTTACTTACTCATTGCACTCATATCCCACTTTTGCTCTAGTGAGTTCACAATGGCATGTATCACTGTACTTCGCTCCAGTGTCTCTTCACAACAACCATATGAGGTAGGCTCCGGGTCTGATCCAAGGAAATCCAATTACAGTACTTTTTTTGGAAAAGTGAGGGGCTAGCTGATGTTGGGGGCTGATGTGGGAAATAGGATGCTGGACGAAAGTAAATGGACTCTTGGTCTGCTGAACCATACAATCTCAGCCTTTGTTTCTAAATAGAGGTGCCATGTCTGAGAGCTGAGTACCTCAGCATATTTCTTGAGTGCTGAGAATTGGGAATGAGACATAGATTTAGTTGCACATATTGTCTGATCCAGGGCTAACTGAGTTTATTCTTGTATGGCCTACGCACACGCATCTAAAACAGTCACAGAAACATTACATTTTCCTGATGTACATTTCCAAAGCAAAGAAGATGTGCAACTTGAGTTGTATTTCAAGATGAGTTTTAACAACTAAATGTCACATGTCTGAGGTTCTTGTTGTACCTTAAATACAAAGAAGTTTAATTTGACATGAATATTCATAGAACGCAGCTCATTTTTCAGATGCATCTGCCAAATTGGGCTGCAGTCCAGGAAAGTTAATACCAAAGGATACATGATCATCTTCAAGATGCTACATCACTCTTTGTTGTTTTTGCTACAGCAGATTAAGAGTGCAACTACATGCTCAAATACTGCAGAATTTGCTCTGCTTATAGAACAGGTGAATTTGAAGGGCTTTTTTTTTACTGACAGCATGACACAATGGTTGATTTGGATTGGTTCAGCACTTTTTGCACCCAAAGTGGCCTTTTTCTCTGCTGCTGGTGGGCTTCTACTTTTTCAAGCTGGAACCATTTGAATGGACTTTTCTCCATCTTGTAAAGATGGGCTGTATACCTGTAGGTAGCGTTCCAGTGAAGTAGGCAATTGGGATGTGATGTTCAAATGGGGGGACATAGAAAAGCAAAACACCCCATGATTTTAATGTGGGGAATCAAATGTCAGTCCTGAATCCTGTCAGATCATGTGGAAAGGTCCTTTTGTTGTGAAGCAAAAGCTTAGTGCTGTTATTTAATTGAAAGTATCATTAAAATCACCTTCCCCTTCCCATCTATTACTCTTTCTCGTTATTTTCAAGCAAGGCATACAGAAATCACCTCATCTCTGTTCAAATATGGTTTTTAACTATTGGTATGACAAACTGTGACCAGAAATAAGGTAATTCTCGCATGTTTTACTTGAAAGTAAGGTAAAAGAGGAACAGCTGAGAAGGTGAAGGTGGTGATCCCTGTTATGGAATTATTCTGACATGTGAATTATAATGTGTTTCACAAAATTACTGTTCAAACCTTTGATGTTCTGTATTGTTGACTGTTAAGTATCTTCCCATGTTATTTTTTTATAGAAAGGTTTTTGAGAAATGTAGTATTTTGAAGATTTAAATGAGAAAACAGCTTCACTGTAAACCATAAAAGGATCAGTAAATGGAGTGTACTCCAGGAAAGCCAGTAAATATATTAATACTGAGGTGCTGCAACAGAGGAACACAGCTGCTTCTTTATAAACTAGTAAAAGAGACAATAGACTTAAATTTACCTGAGACAAAGTTGGGCAGAATTCAGATTTGCAGAATCTATGCCCCCCCCACCATATCTTCCTCCCATTTCCCAAATGCTTTTGTTCTAACATAGCATGCTAGCCACTATATCACACTGGTTGTCTCCATTTATTAAGGGCCACATCATTCATTCATTCATCCATCCATCCATTCCTTCCCTCAGGCTATTCTGCAGGGTGTGTGCCGGCAATTGGCAGGGCCAGGGCAGCCTCATGTCTTTTTTGTCATCCCTTCCTCTCTTTTTCTTTGCCTTCTCTCTACAATAGATAACTGGGAATGGGTCAGCAGCTCTTTGTGTCAGAAATCTGAACTGAATGTTTGCAGGGAGCTTTTGAGTTTAAGTCAATAAGACTGGATTTTGCAAACTGGAGGGGTGCTATCTAATCCACATCTGTGTCAGAAAGAACTGATTGGAAAATCATCACTGGCTGCTCCTCTCCATCACAGTCACCAAAGCAACTGCAATTTCCGTTGGGCACAGCTGAAGCAAAATGGAACAGGAAAGGCAGAAGGTAATTGTGACTCACACTGCCGGGTTTTCAAAGGGATGCAGAGATGGAGAGCAGCTTACAGATGGCAGATGAATCATCAGCCTGCTTCCTTTCACACCAATGAACAGATTTTGTTTGTTCATTTAATTAAAGCAGCAGATTGAATCATGCTCAAGATGGCTTTAAAGTGACTGTCCATTATTTATCCCTTATTTCTCAAACATCTCTCAAAGACTGGCATTCAAGGTGGCTAACAATAATGATATAACCAAATAAAACAAGTACAAATGGAATATAAAACAGATTTAAAACACACTTAAAAACACGTAAGCACAAGCAAAAGGAGTACATCTCTGGTTAAAAGCCCTTTAAAATCCACCTTAACTTCCCAAAGCCACCAAATAACATATTTTCTGCCTAGTGGAAAGATAAAAGGGAATGGGTCATCTTAAGGTGAGACTCCCGGGGCTCCCTCGCTGGCTACCTTTAAGAAGCAATTAAAAACTTGGATGTTTCGGCAGGCCTTCCCATCACATAACTCATGATCTCTTTCTTTTTGTTTTGTGTTTTCTCATCATAATGTAGTGTTTTATGGTTTAGAATTGTTATTTACATGTTTACTGTATTATTTTTTAAGATTGTTAGCCGCCTAGAGTGGTACAAATAAAATAAATAATAACAATAACAATAACAAAACAATAACAATAACAAAAGCAGCAGCAGCAGCAGCAGCAGCAACAACAACAACAACAACAACAACAACAACAACAACAATAATAATAATGTGGAGTTACATTAATGGAATACCACAGAATATGCCAGGGCAATCTTTAAAGCAATTTAAAATCGCATGGTTGTCATGTGGTTTTGTATTGCCATTTGTGTTCCCTTTGGGTTACTCCTGATGTGTGCAGTAAAGAGTGCAGTATACACAAGACTGTAATTTCAAGTAGCTTAACTAAAGAATTTTTTCTTTCTCCTACAAATACTGTATTATTAAGACTATAAGTGCCAGATAATGAGAAAGGGGCGACTCTCGGGAACTTGTAGCTACAGTATTCTTCTCTGTGGATCACTGTGCATCTACTGCATAGCAAATAAGCAATTTTACCAGAAATTCAAAACTCTGTGACAAGCCCTATGCCAGGAAATCCTTTTGGTCAGCATAAAACCGTTTTCTTAATTGTTCAATGTTCTTAGCAAAGAAATAAAGCTGGTCATAACAGAATTAACAGAAATTAATTGCAAATCGATCCTGTTAACCACATGTTAGCAAAGCAATCACAGATAAATTACTTTGAAGTAAGGGAGAGAGTGCAATAAAGAAGGTCATCCATCTCAGAGTCCAGGTCATGTCAGAAAGCAATTCCCATCATCCTCTGTAGCAGGCATGCTGGGAAAGCTTGATGGGTTGCAGTTCCTCAAAACGGATACAGCCACAAGCTGAACCAGCATTTAAAAAGCGAATATTAAACACAGTGGCACGTCTCACTGACCGCTTGGTCATGCAAGATTTTTTTCTTTTATTTATTTATTTGATTTATATCCCGCCCATCTGGTCTGGTCGACCAGATTTTAAGGGAGGCGGGAGTACGTAGTTTCAAACGCCTTTTACAGAAGCGGAGATGACTAGGCAGTGCTCCGCGCTCAATCTCAAGTAGAAACATCATGTTCCATTAGTTTGCAAGAAGATGTGTTCCATTTCTAAATGGTTAAATATAAAAACAAACATATACTACGAAACTGGGTGCGAATCCTAAGCGATGCCTTTGGTAACATCTTTTTCAGGTGAGGTAGAGAAACGCGCTGGATCCACCTAAGGCTGTGCCCAAAGCTTGGGTTTCTCCGCTGACTTTTATAGTTTTCACTACTCTACGTTGGGAGCGGAGCATGCTGGGAAGTATTCCACTGGACTAAACGCGGAAGGAAAGGACCGCACATCTCTCTATTTTTTTAAAACGTCTATATAATCGGGCATGCGCAGCCGATTGAACCGGAAGTCTCGCGAGTTTTGCTCCCTTCCGCTGCGTCCACGCTTCGCGGCTGTCGGTTCCAAGGAATTAAGCCGGAGTGGGGTCGTGGTTGTAGGATGCATTCAGACGACGTGAGTTGTGTGGTGGGCAGAGGGAGTTGTCGTGTGTGTTTGCGCGTGTCAGTCGGATTCTGTGACGGTGGGAGGGGTTCAGTGCAGCACACCTCCTGCCAAGGGGGACGATTTCGCTTTCTTCCACGTGGAAATCGGGTGATGATGATGGTTTGTAGTGTGTTGATGCGGGTCGCGCCCGCCCTTCGTTGGGGCTAAAACGGACTGCCGTGGCCGATCCACAAGGCCAACTTCTCTCTTCAGAAGGGATTGGATGACGTTCAACTACAGCTGGGTTCAGAGGCTGACGCCAGGAAGAGATTTCTCCATTTAAAATTTGTAATCTTGATTTTTATCCAGTCCGAGGTGCTCGTATTTTGGGCACCCCTTGGGAAAGGCAACAGCGCTAGGAAAAGTCGAAGGCAGTAAGAAAGGAGGAAGACCAAATACCAGATGGAGTGAATCCATAAAGGAAGCCACAGCCTTGACTTTACAGGAGGGCTGCTCAGAACAGGACGTTTTGGAGGCTACTTATTCATAGGGTTGCCATAAGTCTTCTTTATTATTATTAAATGTAAATTTTTATTTAAAATAGAACACTACAAATAGACAAAATAAGAGACAACAGCCTGTCAATCACTACGAAACAACAGCAGATAAAAAGAATAGACAAAGAAGAAAAAGTACCCTACTAAGATAAACCCTCCCCCCCCCCGGGTTGTCATAAGTCTTGATGGCACGTAACCAACATCAGTGAAGAGTGAGGATAAGTAATTTAGCATGGGGGGCACATTTTGACAGAAAAGGAGAAACACTGTCAGCTTGAAAGTAATATTTTATAATATGAAGTGTCAGGTTACACTTACCATTTCAAAATTTAGAGAGCTGAGCAGATCCAAAGAAAGCCCATATATATCAGTAATTTGTAGGAATTCCTGATTCCACTGTGAGACGCCTTTGTTGTTGAAATTTAACATGTCTCTGATCCTATCCTCATTTTCAATTTCTGCCACTGTTTAAAGGCAGAGATATATGGCTTGGTCACATGAAGGCCAGCTTCCAACTGAAGAACAAAGAATTTAGTTGTACCTTGAGGAGATGCAGGATAGTTCATATGTTTTTATTCTAGGGTATTTTCAAATTCCTTCTCTTGATGGGCTCCCCTATTGGAGTTTTGTAATGGATCTGAGGTATAGCTTAGCTCCCATCCTCAGTACAGTGGTGCCTCGCTTTAACGACGAATCTGCATAGTGATGTGGATTTTGCGATCGTTTTTACGATCGCATTGCAATGTTTTCTATGGCCGAAAATCGCATTGCGATGATCGGTAAGTGTTTCGCTTACCGATCTTCACATTGTGATTTTTTTTCAACAGCTGATCGGTGGTTCCAAAATGGCTGCCGGGTGCCCAAAATGGCTGCCGCAAGTGTTTTCGCGCCGTGCCCTCGCTTACCGAGGGTGCAAAAATGGCGGCGCTATGGAGGAACTTTGCTGAAAGGTGAGTTTGGGAGCCATAGGAACGCATTAAACCAAGTTTAATGCATTCTTATGGCTTTTTCCGTCCCGTTTAGCGATGTTTCTGCATAGCGATGATTAATCCGGAATGGATTAACGTCGCTATGTGGGGCAGCACTGTATTTAGGCTAGTCTATCACCAATATCTCTCACAATAAAATTTCAGTGCCATGTTAGTGGTGACTTTAATTTCCAATATCTACTTGAAGAAAATCCTAGATATCTGAAAAACGTCACTTGTTCTGTAGTGTGTCCATTAAGTTGTGTAAGTTTTATTGGCAAAGACCACTATTTTATTCTTTTCATAAATAAATTTCAGGTCTTGTTGGTTAAATGTTTCCAGTAGTTTCCTTAGCTCTGGCTGTGTTTGTGATAATAAAACGACATATGCAAGTTATGTTCCTTTCCTGGTTATCAATATCATTATCACTTAAGTCAGATATTAAGGAGTTAATGTAAATATTAAATACAGTGGTGCCTCACTAGACAGTTACCCCGCATGACAGTTTTTTTCGCTAGACATAGACTTTTTGCGATCGCTCTAGCGATTCGCAAAACAATGATTCCTATGGGGGAATTTTGCTGGACAATGTTTGGTCCCTGCTTCGCAAACCAATTTTTGCTTAGACGATAATTTTGACAGCTTCCTCGGCACTCGCAAAACAGGTGTTTTCGAGACCTAAGCTTCGCAAGACAGCGATTTAAACAGCTTTGGCGGTTCGCAAAGCACCTTTCCTATGGCTGATCTTCGCTAGACAGCGACGATTCTTTCCCATTGGAACGCGTTAAACAGTTTACAATGCATTCCAATGGGGAAATGCTTTTCACTAGACAATGATTTTGCTAAACAGTGATTTCAATGGAACGGATTATCATCGTCTAGCGAGCCACCACTGTATTGTTGAGCTGATGAACATCTGTGATGGACACTTCATGTGACTGTGTTAAAAGAGGTAGCCGTGTTAGTCTGTGATAGCATAGCAGGCAAAACAAAAGAAAAATTGAAAATAAAGAAGACAAAAACATTGTGGCACCTTAAAGACTAACAGCTTTGTTTTAATGTGAACATTCATGGATACGTCGACTTCTTCACGTGATTGGTATAATCAGTGATGAGAGATACATTGTATTAGAATGAAGTGTGCACATCAGTAAGTATCATAACACAAAATACAAGAAAAGTATTAAAGATGTGTGAGAGGAGGCTTCTATCTGTCCCACCATTTGGGAGTAGTTCAGTATATGGAGATGTAGCAAGGGCTTCTGGGCTGTCGTGCTTCTGTTTTGGAATGTTTTTCTTTTGTGGAGACCTGATTGACATTTATGTTGGCCCGATTCCAGAACAGGGCCATTTAAAGTCAGTAATTTTATTGTGGTGGCAAATGTGGCCCCCCAAGAGAAGACTGGAGTTCCTATTAGCCATGCCCAGAACATTTGATGATGAGTGAGCTTATGGGAATTGCCATCCAACAATACCTGGAGAGCCATGGGTATCCATAGTTGTTGAGTTGTAGATTTTATTTATTTTGTTGAAATATTTTTGTACTGTTTTAATTTGTTTTTAATTATATCTCACCTTGAAATTTTTAGATGTAGGATGATGTAGAAATATTTAATAAGCAAACCAATACCCTCTTTTTTTCCAGATTGTTTGGGACACTCTTGGCAACAAACAGTTCTGCTCATTTAAAATCAAGTAAGTATTCCTGTTCTGTTTTCCCTTTTTTGCACCACTTTCAAGGTCTACAAAGTGCAACAGGTATGCTAATACTGGTTGCTATTATTAAAATCAGATTTCCACTTCAGTGGTTCATAAATTTGACTGAAGAAGCATAAGCAATAAGTGATAATTGGTGTCAGAGTCCAGCTCTAACATCAGTAAACGGGAGAGTACTCCGAAGAAAAACAAGGAGACTGCAGTCAGGGATTCAAAAACAAAGCATGCTTGGGCATGCCTATAGGAAAAGGAACATACAGTTGTGCCTCACATAGCGACGTTAGTCCGTGCAGCAAAAACTGCTGCAAAACGATTTCGTCGCTATGTGATTTTAAAAAGTGCATAGGAGTGCATTGAAACCCCTTCAATGCGTTCATATGGGCTAAAAACTCACCTTTAAGCAAAGATTCTCCATACGGCGATCATTTTCGCTGCCTGGTAAGCAAGGAATCCGTCCCTAAACACAGCAGGCGGCCATTTTTTTCCCCGGTGGCCATTTTGGAACCACCGATCAGCTGTTGGAAAATCATCACTATGCGATGATTGGTAAGCGAAACAGCGAACCGATCATTGCAAAGCGATTTTTCCCCATAGGGAACATCGCAATGCGATCGCTTTTGCGATCGCAAAATGTTTATCACTATGCGGTTTCGTTGTTAAACGGGGCGCCTGTTAAGCGAGGCACCACTGTACTTGGCCATGCCCGGCACCTCCCTTTATTCAGTACTTAGGTTACACAAGAATCATTACAACCAACGATGCATTATGTTCTGCCTAGCAACAACTGACACATGCATAGATTAACTGTGTTAAAGAGCTAGGCATTCGGCTGATGCATTCTTCTGCCTACATGACCTCCTTGCTCAGCTGTAATGAAGTCAGCAAACTCCCACAAATTGGCTGTTGTGTAGTGTTTGATTGTATCTACCTGTCATAGCATAGCTGCTTTTTACCATCTTGAAACTACTAATACATGGACGTTTTTATCATGGCCTCAGTCGAGTCAGCTCCTCGTTAATTCTTTTTAAATGGATAGGAAGGTTTTAATTTAAGTTTGGGGAGTTCATTCAGAGAGTGTTGAACTGCTACTCCAGCACTGAGTAGGAGTGATGAGATTTGCAATGCAACATCATCTGGAGAACCATATATTCCCACCCTTATGTTAGAGCCAGGGTAGCATTGTAATCTTATATATTGTATGTCTGTGTTAAGAAGTAGGCACATTGGATTCCATGAATTCATTATATGGATAGGTGTGCAGCTTGTGTATATGGATTGGGTAGCAAGCTGCAGATTCATGACTGAGCTAGTGTAGACTTTGGTGTTGTATTATGCTTAGTAAAGATTTTAATGGAAGTTATTTGTGAAGTTTAAATTATCTGGGATTTTTTTTAGAATGGAATTAAAATCTCTGGATTTTAGAAGTGTTGTTCCTCATTTATCCGTAATGCTGTGGTTGCAAAACTGAGGATGAAGAGCTTATATTGAGACCTATCACAATTTTATAGGTTCAGGTCTGTTTGAGGAACAGTTTGGAATGGGAAAGATGAGGTTGCTCCTTCCTGTTGTCTGTTGTGTTGTTTTCTACAGTGAAGAACCTGCTGCCCTTCAGATGTAATTGGGCTACAGCTCCCATTATCCCAGTGGAAGTGGCATAGTGGCTAGGGATGGTAGAACTTGTGAAATACATCTAGTGAGCCAAGATCCTCAGTCTTTCAGATAAATTGGGAGAGTTGATTTCCAGCACTTCAGTTTTTTCTATTCTTGATGGTAGATTGAAAACATGGAAATAATAACTGGGACATTTCTCTTGTATAAAAATATTACATTTGAGGAGTGACTTGAGACAAGTGATTTCTGTATAACATGGATATTATAGATTAAAAAGTAGGTGGATTTTTTAATTGCTAACTTTTGTCATGTCTCCTTTTATTACTATCTCTGGGATGTAACAACTACTGTACTGTACTGTCTTCCTTTAGCTCAGAGTTGCTTTTTTGTTTTCATGCTCCCTGCAAGATTCTAGGAGATATATTCCAGGTGCTTATAAGAACTATGGGGGCACAGAAGGAGTTCCAAACACCATATACTGTCCTGACTTCACTGACAGATTATGTTTTGAACATTTTAGTGAAAATTACCTTCAGTGTTCCTTTTGCACCACTCTGTGTTGCACCTTTTTAGCTCCTGATTAATTACTTTGGAAAAATTTTCCTAATAGCATATTGTCATTTGGTTGTATGTTTTAGATTAATGCTCTGTATTGAAATGAATGGCGCTTTTTTTTTCAGGACAAAAACCCAGAATTTTTGCAGAAATGAATTTAATATAACAGGTCTGTGCAATCGTTCCTCTTGTCCCTTGGCAAACAGCCAATATGCAACTATTAAAGAAGAGAAAGGTGAGCATCTTTGCATTTTCCTTCAGCATTGTGCCTTAAGCCTCATGCTTCCTTTCCTTAGTCTTTCTGCCTGGTGTTTCAAATCATGTGTGAAAAGATACAAAACGTGACTTAACTAGGTGACTCAGTCTATCAAGTGAAGGGTCAGCAAGTCCCATCACTGTTGGCCACGTGTGGTAGGGCTGATACATGTTGTAGTTCAACAGCACCCAAAGTTGCCAGGTTTTTTAAAGGGTATAATCCAAAGATCAATATTCCTAAAGCTGAGGAGGTCTGTAATCCAGTCAGTGTCTGAATGGGAGACAACAGGGCTGCCCCCTGTTTGTGCCCTTCAGGAAATTCTTCATAATTGAAAATACAGGATTGCAAAATTGAAAATACAGTAAGTACAAATAAATGCAGTCAGCTCTGATTGTGAGTGGGTCATTGGCCAGGGAGAATACAAGTAAATTGAAAATACAGGATTGCAAAATCTAAGGGAGCTATTCTAGCTTGATGGGAGGGCATATTTTACTTGGCATTTAACCAGTTAAAAGGATCAGGTAGCCAGTGATGGGGAAAGCATCAACTGAGAATCCTGAGAATCATGGTTGAACCATCAGACCTGGTAGTTTTTCCTTTCCAGATGAAGACACGAATACATGTGCTCTCTTCACAATTGTTTAAAAAAAGATAGAAGCAGCAGCAACCAGCCCATTGAGATCTTGGGAGTTAATGAGACTAGATTGCAAAATTTGAACTCATTGTTAGAACCCAAGATGGCTTGGGAGATTATTTTTATTTCATGTTCTTGTATGGCCTAAATCTCATCTCTTGCCTACCAACAAATTCACCAGGTATCCAGAAGAGAGTCAACCTTGGTTGTGCATAACCTACTCTCTCTTTCATTTGGTATTGCAACTTAGACTGCTTGCTTTTTGACCACGGTTGTCTTGAGTTCTTTGGCTATTAGCAAAGGAGGCTTTGTATCTGATCACTCATAAAGCAGATGGCAAAGGAAGTAGGGTAGGAGAATGAGCTGCATATGAGAAGTTTGTACTTCTGCCGTGAGCTCAGTAGGTGGTTCTGGCCATCTGTTTTGCTTCCACACTTTGGAGGTTTGTGCCAGTTCATACACTCGGCACCACAGGTACTGCACATTCACTTCCTCTGTCTCCTGGGCTGGATCCCCCCACTCACCAGCTGGCACTCGCTCCTCTCCTCCTCCTCTTTGGATGTTTGACCAGTCTCCAGCAGGAGCAGGGGCTTCGTTGTCCCGCCTCCATGGCTGATCACCCTCTCAGATGAGGAGGCAGGACAGCAAACCCATGCTCCTGCTGGCGACTGGTCAAACAGCCAGAGAGGAGCATGCCCTGACTGTGAGTGGGTCATTGGCCAGGGAGGCAGAGGAAGGAAATGCACAGGATTGACCACTAATCCTTTTAACTGGACATGCCAAATAAAACCTGTCCTCCCTCCACAGGTGCTGTGTGCGCAAACCTCCAGACCTAGGGTCATGACCATCTCCATTGAGCACTAATCTTAACAGTCTTCCATAGTCTGCATCCTGCTTCTGATAACCAAGGTTGCGTCAGACCTGGTAGTGACTTAATACATGTTGTCTCTCTTCCTTTTAAGGACAGTGTTACCTTTACATGAAGACAGTTGAACGGGCTGCTTTCCCAAATAGGCTGTGGGAACGAGTAAGTCCTTCTTCCAAGTTGCTAGGGGTGTAGGTCATCCGATGGCATTAAGTAGGAGAGTAATTGTCTTTAAGCAAATGATATAAACATGATGCAGCTGTAATTACCTATTCTTGACAGATTTTCTACTTTTTTGCTATTTATTGGCAAGGGAATTCTAGTCTGAATTAGGATTAAGGTTTAGCTGTGCATCCTAAGAGAAATACAGGTGTTTACATTAGCATATTAATTGAGGTGTGTCTCCTCTTTTCAGTAACTATTACTGTTTAAAGATGATGGTGATAGAACATAAGTATGAACTAGTATAAACTAGCCTTGGCCCTGGTCAAGAAGCTACATCTCAAGCAAGAACAAGACACAGTCAATGTACGACTATTAAAATACACACCCTAATGAATTCAATGGGATTTGCTCCTAATCAAATGTATACATGATGATGATGATGATGATGAT